GTTTGTCGGAGCACAGAGTGGCCGCGTATCATTGTTTCAGCTGGGATTCAGACTGCGTTTCCAGACGATATTACGTTTGTTGGGCATGATGGCATCTATGATCGCCGTAGTGCCACTTGGACTGTTAAAGATGAGAGCGTTTCAACGCTGGACTCTCTCTCACCTGTGCGCATCGCGTCACCTCCGGAGGACGCTGACGGTAACCGCGTCTTGCATGCTAGCTCTCCGTCCTTGGAGGGAGCCCGGGCTGCTGCATCAGCACTCTCGGATTGGGAGGGTGTTGTTTCGCAAGGTGGTGTCCACAGATGCTTCCCTAAGAGGGTGGGGAGTGCTGTGCGAGGGTGCATCAGTGAGAGGGATTTGGTCTGCAGCCCAGCACCAGCTGCACATCAACCACTTAGAGCTGTTAGCAGTGTTCTTAGCTCTAAAGCATTTCCGTCCAGTCCTGTAGGGCCAGCATGTTTTAGTCAGGACGGACAATTCAACAGTGGTGTCTTACATAAACAGGCAGGGAGGAATACGCTCTCTTCCCCTGTTGAAGCTGTCTCGCTCTCTGCTGTTATGGTGCAGTGTTCACTCACGTTCCAGGCCACCTGAACTTGGGGCTGGACCTTCTCTAGGGGGGGTCCTCTGGTGAGAGAATGGAGGTTACATCCTTTAATAGTGGCTCAGATTTGGGATCTATTTGGCAAGGCGCAAGTAGATTTCTTTGCCTCCAGGGTAAATACTTACTGCCCCCTGTTCTCTCCATAATTGACCACAATGCACCCTTGGGCATGGATGCACTAGCGCAGTGGAAATGATATCTCCAGTTCTAGAGAGAGTGCGTCGGCAGTCTCTCTCTCTGATTCTAGTAGCCCTTTGGTGGCCCACAAGGTCGTGGTATGCAGAGATAATCAGCCTGCTAGCAGCGAGTCCTTGGCAGCTCCCTCTCCGCAGGGACCTCCTCTCTCAGGCAGGAGGAGAAGTGATTCATCCGCGCCTGGATCTGTGGCACCGTCATGCTTACCTGCTGAGAGGTTAAACTTGATTGCTAAGGGTTTGCCCACCTAGTGTGATAGCGACAATTCAGAGCGCTAGGGCCTCATCTACTAGAGGCTTGTATGCTTACAAATGGCGAGCCTTCAAGCAATGGTGCCAGGACCGCCACACTCTCCCATTTCAGTGCTCTATTGTGGATGTTTTGACATTCCTGCAAGAGCTGCTGGATAAGGGCCTTTCATTTTCGACAATTAAGGTTTATTTAGCATCTATATCTGTTTGTCATATTGACTTTGACAGGGTGACACCAGGTGCCCATCCCATTGCCATACATTTTCTGAAAGGGGTTCGCCGGCTGAGATCCGTGCTTAAGTTCAGTGTCCCTGCTTGGGACTTGTCTTCGGTGCTGGAGGCCCTTTGTAGCCCCCCGTTTGAACCCATTGAGTCTGTGGATATGAAATTACTTCTTGCTTTGGCTTCGGCAAAGCGAGTGGATGACCTTCATGCGCTGTCTGTGCATCCCTCCTGCACACAATTCTTATATTGCATCCAAATGCTGCCTATTTTCCCAAGATCATGCCTGCAGCTCTAAGTGGTTGAGATGCATCCTTTTGCATCTGAGGAGCAGAGGAGGTTGCATTCTCTTTGTCCAGTTCATGTGCTACGCACCTACATTGAGCGTACTTAGAATGCGCGTTTATGTGACCAGCTGTTTGTCTGCTTTGCTAATCCAACTAGAGGTAGAGCTCTGTCTAAACAGAGGCTGTCCTGCTGAATTATAGAAGCTTTCTCACTGGCATACAGCACCAAAGGTCTTGCTTTGCCCCAGGGGGTGAGAGCTCATTCCACCAGGGGGATGGCGACCTCATGGGCTCTTTTTAAATGGGTGCCTGTAGCTGATATTTGTACAGCAGCTAGTCTGGCATCACCGCACACTTTTGTGTGGTTTTATCGTTACAGCCCCTTCGGTGGCTCAAGCTGTCCTTCCTGCTGGGTCTACCGCACACTAAGGTGGTGGTGGTCCAATTCCAGTTCGGTGGCTGCTCTGCAGGGCGTGTATATATGTCCCATACTTATGTGTTGTACCGAGTGAATCGACTGAAAGGGAACAAATAGTTGCATCTATAACTTCTCTTCCCTGAAGGAGAGGAACGAGGTACAATGTGGCCCCACTGAGCAGTTTGGCTTGGTGAAGAGCGGCTATCGAACTGAGGGATGACAGTGATGACAGAAGTTATAGACATAACATAACATAACTGACTACGGTAGCCGTAATTCATCAAGCGGTGCGGCTTTGTAGCTTACAAAAGTTGTACTAAGACATTTTTTTGACAGATTTTTGAGCAGCGTGTACCACATAAAATCAGTTCGAGGTCACTAAGCACAACCAGAATTCATACATAAGGCACACCGGATTATAAGGCGCAAGGTCAAAATACGGTACTTTTTCATATGACTGTTTAAGGTTTTAGCTAGTAAATTGTAGCTGGTTATTTTAGCTCAAGATCAAATTTGAAAATGGAGAGAAACACGAAAAAGGTCACTTATGAACTTGTTCCAGTTTTCTTCCTAATTTGCCAAAATGCTAAGCAGTTTGTGGTTTATCAGAGAGGGCTTGTGGAGTCATGTGTCTGAATTTTTCTTAGCCAGGACAGTAACTTCTTTAGAGCATATTGTTTCCAGTGACAACAAAAAATAAAAAAGTTAATCTTTCAGGCTAAAAAGTAGTCTGGCACAAAATTCATCAGTACATTTTTTTTTTGCTTGTGGCTAGGGTTTGTCACCAGCCCTATACATGTCTGCGCTAAACAAAGCTAGTCAGCTGCTGGAGGTAGTTTCATAACTAAGATACAGTACACACAAAAGAGCGCCATCAATCTTTCATCTGGTTTAAAGATATTGTTTTATCACTGTGTAGTGCCAGAACTGTAGCTTTAAGTTGTCGATTATGTTATGACAAAATAAGTCTCGTACCTGCCTCTGTAAAGATGTTCAGGGGGATTTATCTTTGACCCCAGTAACATTCCAATATCTGGATGTCACAAATTCTTTTTGGGTGAAACAAAAGTAAATCCACATTGCTTTACTAGTCCTGCCAAATGCAAATCATTAAGTTTCCCTTTCCTGGATTCCCATGGAGAGCATTTAATAAAACTCTTATTTGATGACCTGATAGCATAAAAATGTTGCATGATGCATTGATTTGGCTGGCTCAGATGGGTTTTTTGCCATATGGCTAAAATAAGTGTCAACAGAAGAGCGGCTCCCCATCGTCACTCATTTGATGGACTGATTAACGTTCACACCATAAAAAAGCTGGTAATACTTCCTGTATTTAGCAAAGAAAAAGAAAAGAAATTCATGAACAACAATCACATTACTTGGTAAACTGGATTAACTATTTTAAAAATGGATCAAGTAAACTGTACAATACTAATAAGCTTGAAAGTCGGTATTTGCCATGATCCCCTTTACTCTTCAGCACATCCTGAATTCTCCCAGCCAGACAGTCTTATATGATCCCACACTGAAACAATAAAGTTGAGGTCCAGGCATAGTGCTCCATTGTGTGTTATTCTATCCAGGTATGCTTTTACAGCATTGGCAGTGTGTTTGAGGTCACTTTCATGCTAAAATTAAAGCCACTAAAACATTTTACAGATGATATTGCATGGTGGATCAAAATCTGACTGTATTTTGTCTGCATTCACAATTCTATTCATTTTGACTAGTCCCCCAACACCACTGGCTAAAATACAGCCCCAAACCATTACAGAGCCTCCACCGTGTTTTACAGATGACCGTAGACACTCACTGTTGTACCTCTCTCCTGATGTCCTCCATACATGCTGATAAAGACTTGTTTATGTCAAATTTGGATTCATCAGACCTGTTGCTGCTGATTTTCAGTCCAGTTCTTGTGTAATTTGTCATAACTCAGCCTTTTCCTTTGGAAATTACAAATCACACAATTATGACAAATCTTAGCCACATAGCAACAAACCCATCTAAGCCAGCCACCCTTCCACTGTGTGCATTTCTGATTTGGCTTCAGTGAACATTAGATGGATGAACTGCAGGTCCAGATGCATCTCTCAGGTCCTGTGTCGGGTCTCTGCTGCATTTTGTCCTTCTGTCCTTCACTTATCCAGTTTCCTCCAATGTTTTAAGAACATACTGTGCACCATGCTGTGATATGCCAAGTCTTTGGCCAATAACTCTTTGGAAATCAAGTTGTTGGTACAAAAATACTATTTTATGCCATACTGTGTTATCTTTGGCATTCCTTTTAGATTCAACTAAAGAAATGGGAACAAATCATGCGTTTACGTGACAGGCTGCAATTAACAAAGTGCCTAAAGATACAATTTAAAGTGCAAAGTTGTCTGTTATCTGTAAACACAATACTCATTCATCCCTTGAGTTAGGTGCATTTTTTCCCCATTACTGAAAGACTCATACGACAGTGCTAAATGGCTTTACAAAAAAGAAAATTGACTAAAAAAGGCGGAGATACAAGGACTGAAAATGACTGTAAAAGCAGCCAATGTCCAAGGAAAACCTTTGAAAGACCTCCAGAAACCCTGGAGAACTATTGCTCAAGACCACTATAATAAAATTCCAAGAAAGTCTGGCTCCTTGGAAGCAAAATCTAAAGAAATGTGGAGAGGCTTGAGAGTTTTGCACACAACTCCATACATGTGGTGAACAAAGGATACAAAAGTGGAAAGATTTCTAATTGTGATGACGACATGTATTTTGAGTGCTTCTCTCTGCTTTCAGCTCAAGTTTTCCAGTGTCTGGGTTTCAAACATGAAGGCATGTGCTGTCCTGTTTTTGTAATCACCGCAGCCTGCAGCAGCAAATGGGATTCAAATCTGCCCAGCTCCCTTTCCAGACTCCTGACTATCTAGCAACTTGGAATGCTGAGTTAAAATGTTTAAATGAACACAAAGTTAGCATTTTCACTGATTATATAATTGGACTTTATAATGGAACATGCACTGCATTTGTAATGTAATCCATTCCAATAATATGGCATTCTGTGCAGTGAGGTACAACAGCCAGTCTAACAGTTCTGTTTTAGTTAAAGGGAGTAAAATGCTACAGTTTTATTTTGTGTTGGTATGATACACCCATACAGTCTATGGATACACGTACATTGAAGAAGTTGATAACTTAGCACTCCAACACCTCATCCAAGTATTAAAGGCATTCATGTGACAGCACATGAGAAATCGCTAAAGTAATTATTGGCTCCAAAATACCAAGATGATTTGTGGTTTTAGATCACAATATTTAACCTGTCCATTTTCATTATTATTCTAAGAATAATGTTAGTAAACAAATTATGAATATAGAAATCGAGTCATTAAATGCATTTAAAATTTTGTTAGTAGTTTTTTTTTTTTAATTGAAATACTGTACATCTTTACATGACATCCAAAACCAGCACGCTGACATTTGGCGAGTGAAACTAATGAACAAGAGAGGCAAAAAATTAGAAAGTGTAACCAAACATGTCAGATCCTGTCATGTGCTACGTCTCTTTTACAGTCTGAGAAAATTAAAAAAAAAACATAAATTATGTGAAAAAGCCCCTCCAAAAATAGTTTTTTAAAAATCTGCTAATATTAAAAGGGTCCATTAATAAAAGAAAAAAAAAAAATCAGCATTCATCTGGTTGGTGAAAAATCCATCAGCAGAGCAGCTGAACCCACGCACAGATGACTGCATAAGGCCTTTATTTCAGGAAATCTCATGTGGATCCTCAATCCTTCGGAAAACTGCAAGAAAATTCTTTCCTCCATTTCTCTGCACTTTCTTTCCTTCCTCTGTGCAGGTACCCAGACGACTTATGATGATATCATCGGCCTGCCAAAAGAGGATTTAGGATTGAATCACATCTAAGGGTACAGCAGACCAAAACGTGCATTTTCTGACACTGTTCAGTAACTTTTTTTTAGCAACCCCCCCTCCGAAAAACTATTTCCTATTTCATATCCTACTTTTGACTACTTTGCTGCAGTGAGCAGCTGAACACCAAATGCTGATGTCATGACCTGCAAACACAGCGATGCAAAGCATGTCAACGTACCAGTTCTTCATGGAGGACCCGTGTGAACAGTGGATGTTCACTGAAGTGCTTCACCATCCAGAGGTGGACTTCCTCCACATCTGTGATGGTATATACCAAACCCTGACACAAGCAGACAAACACACAGAGACCATTAACACAGCTCTGAGAAAAATACTAAAACTTTGCTATTTACTGATATGAACCCATTTATCAAAAAACAAACACACTCACTGCACTGATGAAAAAATAACAAACATATATTCGAGTCTCTTTTTTTTTGACACTGTCAGACATTTCAGACCTGCAGTTAGTTATATGGTTTCATCACCTTTGGAGAGCAATTTATCTCTAAAGATAAAAATAACCTATTGCCAACACAGAGGTGAATCACCTGTGTCAAGGTAGTTTACTTTGGAGACCGTGCTGATAAAATTACTAGAACTTGGATTTCTTTGAACACTTTGAAAAGGCACAGATTTCCACACGAGTGCATGTCAGCACGTATGTGTCTTAATTTCCAGAAATAAAAAAAAAAGCAGGGTGAGGGACGCCGTTTTATCCTGCCGTTCTGACAACACCCAAGATTTAAAACTTAGTCACAACTTAAAATTAACTCGTTTTGGTTTGAAACTGCCTCTACAAATGAGCGTACACTTGACAGCCTCCGCTCCCACCGGCAGTAGTTCTGGCTGTGAGCCAACGCTGAAGGCCCTTGTAGAGTTTGCACGCACACCTGCGCACACACAACGTATGTATGCACACGTGCATCAATGCGCACACACACAACGGAGGAAAAATGATAAATTTAGACACAAGCCTTCCATTGTTCCCCACAACCTCCATCAGCGTTCACTCCCAGTGTCCCACTGCTGCCTTGACAGCTCTGAGAGGCAGGACTTGGGTGTATAAACCAGCTGTAGGCCACACCGGTTCCCACATTTTATTTCCTGTGAACTCACAGGTTTGTGCACAGTTCAATTATGTAGGAAACTAGGGAAGAAATTGTAGTTTAATTCTCAACTGTGACCCATAGTAGGGAAAAGAAATTTTATTGCATATATGGAAAAACACTTACAGTAATGATACAAGCTAAACCACACTGTTTTAAGTGGTTATTGTAGTGATACACTATCAATTTCCACTGTCAACAAATTCCATTAAAAGCTCCAAACCATCAGTGAACTCAGCCTATTAAAGCAGGATTCATGGTAGTGCATTTGTATAGGTTTGCGTTGGTGTTTGGATATACAGAGTGAAGGATTATGGGTATACAACCTACAAAACATATACAGAGGCTAAGTGGGCTTAAACAGAAAGGGCAGCAACAGTAGAGTTTACCGCAGAGAGAGATGTTTTCTACATTGTTAACACTCCAGGGCACGCTGAAGGACCAACAGGAAGCAAGAGTAAGACGCAAGAGACGTCTTTATTTACACATTTTTCACACTGCCCCCCGGTGACAGTAACACAGTACAACATGGAGATGGCGGTCTGCAAAGCTGTGCATAAGCTCAGCGTAAGATCAACGCTCAACTACGCTGGTCTCTGAACAGCTGTTGTGTTTATCCAAAGACATACGTGAACCATACTGCAGCACTGAAGAAAATGCTACTTTAACTGAAGCTCAGCGCTAATGCAGTAGCCATTCTGACTGTGCATCAATCTGAGATTTCCTTCTTTTCATGCACATTTCAGTAAAAATGACAACCAATCAACATTTCTTTACTGCAGGTGACTGAAGCAGAAAAAATTTATTTTTTATGTTTGTTGTTCGTAGTTTATCTGAAGCGATAAAATTATTTGTGCATTTCCAATTTTAAATGATAAGCAAGAAAACTGAAGAGTTATTTTTTAATTTATTATCCAGTACAACAAGTGAGAAATGTAATGCAAAGCTAGCTTAGAATCCTAAGCTATGTATTTTTTCCACTCATTTAAAAAAAAAATCATAGACCGACCTATATCTAAGTTGATCGTTCTATTTGTTGATTCATTGGTATCTGCATTTATAATGGCCTGTTGCCCACCTAAGGGCACTCTACAAATTCCCTGTTAACAACACGTTTTCGGAACGCCACATACACGACAACCCGCTGATCCAAGCAGTGTCGAGCAGAGCGTCAATGAGCAATCTAACTTATTGTAGCAATGAAAAAAGATTATGTTTAAATGCAAATATCATACAATCTTAATAAGAATTCATAAATAACTACATATAACAAATCTGTTATGTCTAAAAGCAAAAAAACAAAACAAGCATTAGCTGTTATATTGGATTCTCTTACATCTCTAAATATCGGTATTTGTCTTAAATATCCGATATCAGTCAGGTTTTAATTACATTGAAAGAAAACTGGAAGAAGGACAATGTTTTACATTTCTGTCTGATAAATGATGTGTGCATTAATGTTCACTAAAAACTTGGAATAAGCATAACTCAAATACATACCCCTACTCTGAGCGTGTAGGCGTATTCTGCCAACAGAGTGGGACTAATGATCCTCCATTTGTGCTTGGTCTTCTTAAAGTGAGGGTCAGGGAAGAGGAAGAACATCTTAGTGAGCTGAGAGACAGAAACAACAGGGTAACAGTCACACAAGCAAGGACCAAACAAAGTGTAGGCAGTTTTATTCAACTATATTTAGCCATGCAACACAACAAAAGGTGAGCAAATCTGGCCCCCATAATATGCTGTTGGATTTTGAACGCTGAGGATTGAAAAGTGGAATTTCCCTCATTTTCTTCCCACAAAGTTCCCCGTGTCTCCGTCCTTGACAAGTGTACAAGTGCAGGCTCCGTTCATATTTGTCTGGCTGATATATTAAAAATGCTTCCAGTCACTTTTTATTAGTTAAAAGAAATAACATCAGGTACAGACAGAGAGTTGTGGGGATAATCACCGGGGACGGCTACAGCCTCAGGGGCTCCTTCAGTGCTGACAGAAGGTGGAAAAACCTTCAAAGAACTGAATTATTTTTGGGTTACAAAACACACCAACAAGAGGGAGGAAACAAAGAGAGTTTGAATCTTTTAGAATACACTGTTCCGACACTTGAAACACGGCGTGCATGTGGGAAGGATTGTGGCTAGATTTTCATTTCTAGTCTGGGTGGTCCTCACTTAATACTGTCACTTTGAAAATTTGAATGATTTTGAGCCTATTGTAAGAAAAGGTAGACACCCAACGTTAAAGGAGGATGCAGCTGCACTGTTCAGCTCTGGGGAAAAAAATATGAGCCAAGAGGTATTAATGCTTAGAGGCACTGGAGCTCTGCAAAGTTGCTCTTAGCACTGTTCAAAGCCCCAACTCTTTCCAGCATGTCCTATTATTTTAAATGACCTGAACTTGCATACTAAAATATAAATACATTAAACAAATGTGCATGTTTCTATATGAAACACCTTCATGATTTGTGCTCCATAAATATGTCACTGTTACAGTTACTCCTCTTTTTCCTCCTTTAGTTGATACCCACACAGGGCATTTGAGGTAAATTTTTTTATGCAGGATACCTGAATGAACCCTGGTACACTAAGCCCACTGAGCAGTCTAATGCGGGTTTCAACAAGTCAGAGCGCTGCAGCTAATTGGGCCGGATAAAAGGCGTCTCGCTCAGCTGATGTGATGTCAGTCAATGACCCCATTGTTGTGAAATCCCTGGATTTATTGGACCTTGTATAAATTAATTCAGTCCATATGTTGAACACGTGCATATTCTTATTACCTTGGCATGTCCAGCACAGACTTTCAGTGTCAATTTAACGTTTTTAAAGCCCACGTTGGCTCAGCCATTAAAAATAAAGGTCAGGTTTGTATATGTGCTCTAATTCAATAACCTGCACATAATCATATTAATGCTGGCCCTATAAAACAGGTAGGTACATGTGGTTTTTCCTCTATTCATAAAATGCATTAGTGCCACAAAAATGGTGCCGCAGTCATATTCTTTAGGTTTGCTTGAGAATTGTAGAAGCTAAAATGAGCCGCGAGCATTGAACCGCAACAGAACCTGTAGTTGATGCTGATATCAATTTTTTGGGAGTATTTATATGCAAGCTGGTAAATATCCATAATGTTGGAGAAAGAACATTTTTCTATTTTTGCCTCTGTACACCACCACAAATTTGAATAAGGCAACCGATATGTGATTGAAGTGCAGTGTTTCAGCTTTAATTTAAGGGATTTAACAAAAATAGGAATTACATTTATTTATATACACAGAGACTCAAAAATAATTGGCTGATGAGCAGCCTCATTTCTATGTGAGGCCTGTTTTCCCAGTTATTTTGTGACAAGTGAAGCAGACAGAATATCTTAAGTTGATTCAAAGTGTTGAATTTTTATGAGCGCTAAAGAAATACCAGTGAGGGAGGTTATCATTAGGCTGAAAAGCTCAAATAAACCCATCAGAAAGATAGAGATAAACTTTAGGAGTTTATTTTAAGTGTCTGAAAATGAGGATGACGCATACATATGTGTAACTCCTAAACAGTTAATGCAAAGTTTTTGTTAAACCTTAAAAATCTGCACTTCATTCACATCTTGATGGTCCGATTTAAGTGTAAGAACTACATATAAACTGTGTTATAGATGAATGCCGCACCGCAGACACTGACATCCGGTGTTATTATCTTATTCAAGAACTGAACATGTAATTTTAAATGTGTTTGATATTTGCCTAAAGGGGAAAGGTATTCTAATTTGATATGTCAAATGTGTTTGAAATGCTTTTAATTTCTTTAAAAACAAAAGTGAAAAACTGCGACTGATCCAGAAGTGATTTCTAACATTTTGCATTATGTTTGATTGAAGCCAGCCTGAGCCAGCTTTGGAAATTTAAGAGTTCTAATACGAATTCCAACAAAAAGCTCAATTAAACCAAATTAATAATGTTCCCTTTTTAATTTCTTAAATCACACTGCTGCCTTATAATGCCCTCTTACTTAACCTTTTTCACTAATCCATTTTATGCGGGTAAGCGACCAAGAACATTTTTTAGGGGACTAATCTGCAGCATTTTTGTGAGCTCAAAGCGAAATATTTCTGCAGGAATTACTGAGCGAGTTAAGCCAAAAGACACCTCTGCCGTGCTGATTCATTAAACAGCAGTAACCCACCTGTCCTTTACAAAAGAAGTTGGGGAGGTACTTCATGGCATTGCTACGAATGCAGGCGATGTTCTGGTAGCTCGCTGGATTTGAGGCACGCAGCGACTGGATACGATCCTGAACATAATCTGACACTTTCACCCGGATCTCCATACCCAGGATGAGCTTATCTGGGAAGAGTGGAGATAACTCCACTGGAGTGCAGAGAAAATAAAGACACAAACATGATGTAGATTACGTAGCAATAAAGGGCTGCATGTGGTCTTTATACACAGGCTGTGTGTACTACCTAAAAGCCCCCCATATCCACATCCAATGTCAGCAAACTCGACTCGAGGGGGCTCTGTCTCACTCAGGCTGCCAGTGAATAAGTCTGGATACAGCTTGGACCAGTCCATTTTATCAGGACACACAGGGCTGAAGAGGAGGAGGAGAAAGTACATCACTATAAACAGTTTTCAATTAAATCGTATTCTGCGGAAGACAGACCCCTTTTAAAACTAAAGGATCCATCAGCAGCGATCCTCTATTTCCTGTTTCTTTTATGTTATCTGTTTGTTGTATTCTCATACCAATTCAAACACTCAGAAACACTTAATCGTGCTCACAGAGAGCCACACGGAGCTCACTCACTAATCAAAGGTGTGGTGCGCCATCGGGTTTGAATGGGCTCGCTGTCTGTAGTAACGCTTCTGAGGCATGGACGAAGCCATGATGGATCAAAGGAAATCTGTTAATGCCGACGATATTCAGGACGTTCACCCAGTTATGAACAAACTGCCGGAATCTGCGCTCACTCACGCTTGTTTCCACTCAGTTTGTTGGTCGCAGGGTTTTTTCGTCATCACCAAGCGTCCGCTCGGGGTTGCCAGGTTTGCTGATACCGGCTGAAAAACTCAACATTACAGTTTCTTTGTTTTCAAGTGATTTGTGTTGTTTTTAATGTTTACTGATCTATTACAGAAACCACAAAAATATGTAAACAAATTTTGCCTGCACAAAGATAAACGTAAGTGTAAAAATGCAACTCCTCCCTAGTTGTAGGATGAATGAAATTACCTTAAAGTTCTGTTTCTTTTCATGCATTCTGCAGTTATGTGGCTATATATAGGGTATCAGAAAATTCGCCTCTGACCCAATGGGAGCTGATCCTCAAGGAATTTTGAACGTTCCTCAGTATCTTAGCTGTTCCTAGGTCTGCTGTCTCTCGCACAGAAACCTCGGACGTTGTGCCTGGAATCTTTTAGAATCTTATCTTCCAGTTTCTGGGTTTGATCTCCTAGTGCTCCCATTACTACTGGGACCACTTTTGACTTTGTCTTCTAAATCTGCATCAGTTGTTCCTTCAAGCCCCTAGTACTTCTCTGTTCTCTATGCTGTCCACTGGGATGGCCACATCTATCACAGTTGTGGTCTTCTGCTCCTTGTCAGCCACCACTGTGCTTGGTTGACTCGCCAGCAGCTGCTTGTCTGTCTGGAAGTCCCACAGTATCCTAGCACCTTTGGTGGTGTCTCCCATATGTGGCAGAGATATTTTTATACACTATCCCAGCCACTTAGTTGTGTCTCCACAGCACCTTTGTACAATCTGTAACTTGGGTCCTGCTGGCTGTGGTAGACCCCTGCCTTTATAGATCTGATTCTTAGGGGCCACACGTATTCAGTCAGAATGACATCCAAATGTCTTTACTGTGGATCCTGGTGGGCTGGACAAGGGACTGGTGCGATTTGCCTTGGAGTGTTGTTTTCCACAGTCCCAATGAATTCCTGATTAATTTTATTAGCTCACTATTAGTCTTGTTCGGTGCCGAGCACTCCAGTGGTGCACTGAGTCGTAGGCGTTATGGTGTTATTTCCAGTGCCTTGCTGAGCTGTGCTCATGTATTGACTCATGTGCCTGCTCAGTTTACTCAGTTTGGTTAGCACATTTTTTTAATATTAGGATTTTTACTGACAATTGACGGTTTAAAGCATCAAACAGTCAGATCTTTGTTTCCTAAGTTGAGACGAGACAAAACCTAGAACATAAAATGTGACATTCTATGCACTTTTAACACATCCTAAAGTTTTATTGGGCATTTTCTTGACTTATCCATCAGTTCAACTTTAAGTGAAAACAGCACAAGTTACCAAGATCATGGCAAACCCTCAGACATACACAGAAACATTAGAAGGGGAACTGCTACAGTGGTCATATGTAGAAGCACAATCATTATCACCATCAAAATCTCCCTTACGTTGTCAAATCCAAATCAACCTTAAAAACAAATCCAAATCCAACTCTTTTTTTTTCTTTTCTAAGTAAAACAAACTTGTTTGGTTACATTTTGAAATCTTAGTCATAGTGTTAAAAATGGTTACTTGCTTTAAGAAAGAATCTGTTCAAAATCTGTTTTTTCTCAATTCACAGGCTTCACATTTAAAGTCTCAAATAAAAACTTCAAGTTTCTCACAAAATAGGTAATACTCATCCTTAACTCCAGCAGAATCTGAGAAGGAAATATGAAAGTGGAAGTTCATGGCAGTGTTTATATGGCAGATTGGGATTTTATTTAATTAAACCCCAATCAACACTTTTCTCCTCCTTAAACATTACAGCACTTTAGTCAGCTTCATACGGTGGTCACTCTCATGACCACCTCATGGTTGCTGCTGTGCAAGTTGTTGGGTCTTAGCTGGCTAAGGAAATGTAAAACAGTGTAGCCACAGTGGTGGTTGAGAATAGTCCTGATATGGCGGTTTGCCCTCCGGCTGCTGTCTGTGACAGTGTGAGAAGAGTTCCTCTCTACTCGAACAGTGCTTTTGCTGCTGGAACTGATGGGGTCCCCTAAGTCCTTTGCTTTGTCATAATTCAGCACTTTCCACTTCTGGTTCACTGCCTGCCAGCGCTTAAAGATCCGGTAGACAGATGATCCTTCGTGGATTATAAGGCCTGCATGTGAAGATCAAAGGCAAGAAAAGAAATGTTACTGTAGGCATTTAAGGGTGTAGAATGTTTCTGTCCTCGTCTGTGTTTGTGTGCAAACCAGAACATGGTGTGCGATGTGTGCTACAATTCCCAGGTTAACTGACATGTCTCCTTGAAATAGTGTGCAGCGGTGGGCAACAGGCTTTGAAATATGTGTGCTCTCATGTGGTGTGTGTGTGTGTGAAAAGTGTTATCCTATTGGCAGTGCCATGTATTGGAGTCTGAAAGATTTATCAGAGGGCCAATCTTAGCAGCAGGCTGTTATTTCTGGCCAATATGACGAGGCTGATCTATCAATGTCTGAATTTATAACAGCTGATAAATAAAAAATTTAAAGAGTAAATAAGTGACAGGAGAAACACCAGTCCACCATGTCATGAGTGTTAATGTTGCACAGTTTGTCCACTAGAAGGCACTTCCTGTCAACTTCCAGCAACAATAACCAGCTGATGAGAGCAGAGGCGGGCTGAGCATAAACAAGTATAGTGGCCTGAGAACCAGCCTATTCATTTATGTCCTCTGTAATGGACATTTGTTTTTGGTCTAGATATCTTTTGACTTATTTGAGCTACCCTACTAAGTCCTGATGCACTAAATAGAGGACATCTTCCACTGATATCTCATGTGTTTGGGCCTCTTTTAGCTCCTAAGAGGAAGGAAATCACACAAAAAAAATTAATTTGGAAGATCCCTTTTTCCTTGGTTCTCAGGAGGATATATCAGAATATTTTATATCACCAAATATTTGTATTGGTTTCTGTCTCAAAAATTTTATATCATTCCGGCTCTAATATAAACCCTGCTGTATTACAAAGGCAGCACACTCAGTGTAATACCTGCGTGTCAGACCAGAGTGTTCCTCTCACCATTGTCTGAGTACAAAAAGTTTTCAGGCAAACTCTTTCAGTTTTCTTCAGTGTGAAATCCTAGTGTTAACTTCATCCTCTTTGTGCTCCAGATTCGCTTCATCTCCCTGCAAGCCCCTGATCCTCTTTGGTCTGCCGGCCCTCCATCAGACCTTCATTCTATGTGGCCAAAGCCATTCAGGGACATGCTCTGCTAGAATTCAGATCTAACAACGCTAACTTTTTTTTAAAATATTAAAGCCACAAAAGCATCTATTCAAAATGTATTTGGTTTTATTTACAAATGTAACAAGAAGCAATCTTAATATTGGGGATGATTGGTTTTCCTTTAAAAAGGAAGTAAGCAGTCATATTAAATTACTTGTTATAGGGTAAGTTTGGATATGGTAACTGAAAAAAATAACATAAAAATTATGTTTCAGGATGTAGTGCAATTTTGTGTAATTATAGGGAATATACTTTTTGAGCCCCTCAAAAAACTGATTGTTATTCACATAGCTTGGAAATCAGTGATTCTTAATGTATAATCATGTGCAAAGGTTTTTGATAATTTTTGATACAATAGTCACCAGACTGCAACAGATTAAGCTATTAAACAGCAGCTGTAGCAGGTTTTGAAACTACCTTAAAAATCATTGCAAGTTAGAATTAGACTCTGTATGTACTCTAGCCAAAAAAGTCACACATTCTAATATTTCACTGAACCGTCTTTAGCTGTAATGCATGCATTTGTCTTGGCTACGCTTCAACAAGCTTATGCAGTGTCACAACATTAATTTTCATCCTGAGTTGCGTTAATTGTTCGCCAAGATTTTGTACTTGTGATGAGGGAGTCGGACCGCTGGGCCAAGTGTTCTCCAGCACATACACAACATTATCAGTGGGGTTAAAGCCTGGAATCCATGGTGGTCAGTCCATGTGTGAAAATGATATTTAATGTTCCCTGCACCACTCGTCCACAGGAAACCCCAGCAACACTTGGGCAGGCATTACACTGCCCCCACAGGCTTGGACGGTATTAGGCATGATGGTTGCATCACTTCATCCCTTGTCTTCTTATCCTGATGCAATAAGAGACAACACGACCCTTTTCCATTGCTCCAGAGTCCAATCTTTATGCTCTATAGGCAAATAGAAGCCTTTTTTTTCTCCACTGATATGCGGTTTTCCTAAGGCTGCACAGCTGTTTAGTCCCATTCCCTTGAGTTCTCTTCACATTTTGCTTCTGGAAACACACTCTTGCTTTCATCAGTAAACATAAACAAAGCTGCAGGTTCTACTGTTGATTTGCTTTACAATTTGATTTCACCAAATATTTAAACAATCTCTGACCGTTTGATCATTCGAGTTTTCTTTTCTGACTATATTTGTTCCTCGAAGTTGATGGTGGTAATGCCGTGCACCGTTCTTAATATGATTTCTGTAGTTATAGTAAGTAAATTTTAGTGCAGGCCACTAATTCAACCCATCTTTTTCACAACCTGTTGCCAGCCCAAACATATAAATCACTGTAGTAATGATCCAATGGAAAACTCCTAAAGCACCTATTTACTTAGATAAACCAAACTGTTGCCCTTTTTTGGGAACCTTGCAGTGTATATGGACTCACGACAAATTACTTAGAATAATTACCAAAAGATAAATTCTAATAAATTATTGGGAAATTGCAGAGTTGTAAGATAAAAAGTCAGATTATGCAAGAATGGCACTCAGTTTGATGACATTTACACCAAGTGTGAAATATATAATAACGAATATGTGGCAGCCGTAGTATCTGTGTCTTACCTATGCAAACTATGTCCATGAAGCCGTACATGCCGTAGCATATCTGGAAGAGAAGGTCCTGCCGTTGCCATTTGGCTGAGGGGCTGAGAGAGGACCAAACCAACCAGGAAATACTTGCGATGAGGAACAGAGAGCCAAGGATAATGGCTGCAATCTGTACCTTCTCAATCACAGTCAGAGAGATGGCCTGCCACTGGATACAGACACAAAAACTGAATGAAATGGTTTTTCAGATAGAAACTGCAAACTGCTTCTTGATTATGTGAGATAATAGCACAGAGTTTGAATTGTTGCCGTACATCTAAAGAGGCCCTGTTTTTTATCAGCACATATTTCCCAGATGGTTTCTGTGATTTCTGGAGCATAATCACTGAATCTCACAGGCAATAACAGCAATTGTGTTTTGCAGGTTTGAAAGTGGATTTGAGGATAATCTGATCTCCATAATGAAACTACAGACTCTTCTCTGCTGCACCTTTTTGAAAGAGAATAAATTACTGGAAACAAAATTATTCTTCGTAAGTTTCAGTATCTCTTCTCGTTTTTTGTCCTGCCACAAAAGAAAACTCAAAATTTGTCAAAATTGGAAGCAGGTCTACTCCTGATTCTGACTGTAAGTAATCATAACTATGGTACTGTGGCATTTATTAATTTGGCATGTATTAGCCAGTATGGAACAACGGTAATGATGGCACATTCTCCAACATAGCATACGGCATCTCTCACACAGAAAAAGGACACAGGTCGAATATGTTCTGTCATTTCCTTCCCCTGGCCCCAGACCAGTCAAGGCAGATGGCTGCCCCTCCCTCACTCCGGTCCTGCCGGAGGTCTCATCCTGATAAAAAGAAGATCTTACTTTCCGCCTCTGCCAAGTGCTTGCTCACAGGAGATCATCAGATTATTGGAGTTTCCTTTCTAAAATTATAGGGTCTTTACCTTGCATTAGAAAGCTCCTTGAGATGGCTGCTGCTATTAGCATTAAGATGCTGAAATCAGACCAAATCATTCAACTCTTTCAAATGTGCAGTGCCTCATTTTATTGTTCTTGGCAACCTCCGCCTGCAAGCCCTCAATCCTCACTGTTTTCTTCTCCATTTGTTCATAGAAACCCTAAAATAGCTCTGTGAAAAGTAAGCAAAGCTACTGTGCTTCCTGTTGGGAACCGGTGCAAGTTTACTGAACAGCATGAGGTCAAAATGACTGGGAGCCTGAGGGGATGGTAATGTGAATACTTCATGGCCTCTACAGAGTGCCAGCACATTGATTCTTAGATTACAGTGACCCCTAATGTGATTATCGTGCTCCTCTGCCAGTCAGTCACTCAAATCTGGCAAATTAACCTTTATTGATGGCTTTCGGCCATAAAGCCATCAAAGACTTTATTCTTGTAGCAATTCTAAATCCTATAGGAAGGTTTTACATTGTTAACATTAAAACACAGTAAGAGTAGAACAAAACCACATTGACCATACCTGCAGTGGGTTTTTGGTTCTAATGGCCAACACCTGGTACTTAAAGTAGCAGAGCTCACAGCTCCAGGAGCCTCTCTCACTGATCCAGCGGATAAGGCAGGACTGGTGGGTACAGCGCACTGAGCCATCACAGCGACAAGGGCTCAGCAACTCCCCCTGCAGGATGAAACATTAAGTGCATGAAATAGCCTTCCACAGAGCCTCCTGTAGGGTAAAACTCCCACCGAATGAAGATTTGAGTCACACAGTTGACAGTAAAAATAGGAATAAAGATCTCTATCGTTGATTTTGATTTTCACAGCTTTAACAATGTTCCTGTTGTGTTTTACCTGGCGAAGACATTGTTTGAGGCCATCTCTGGGTCACAGACCTGTCTGGAGCAAGTACCAACAGATAAAATCATTTACTGTTTCTGGTTGGCAAGAAGGGGGGTGGTAAATGTTTGAGTTATGCCAGTGGGTTTTATAGGGTATGTGTGGCGTATTTACAAATACCGTGAATTAAATCAAGACTGGACTCGTACTCCATTGCAGACAGCTGCAGACACCGTGGATGAATTGTTATTCTATATTATCTACAGGTCTGCTTTCAGGAAGAGTACACAGTTAGCGTCTCTGCAGTGGTGTGGTTGTGCTGGCTCAATTGTGGTCACTGCAAATTGGATGCATGTCCACTGAGATATGCATCCACTGACCTGTCGATGTAGAACGTGTAAAGATACTTACAGCTGTGTTCTGCTTTAATATGGAGTTAAAAACTAATTACACTTTCCATTGTTTTGCCTTGACTGATAAGCACTGCCTGTACATGTAACCTCACAGTGTTGTGTTATCTCTCTCAGTAGTGAACAGGATCCTGTAACTCCAGCCTCTCCTTTGGGAACCATCTTAGAGTTTGTTGACTCTTCCTACTCTTTCTGACAGCTTGGAGTGCTTCTTTACTTGGCAAGCTTTGCTGACATTTCATACTGAACATTATTTGGCTTTTTCATCCTGCTGCTGTGCTGCTGATGCTTTGCTACTCCCTTTTTGTGGTGAAGTAATCAATAGCCAGTAAAGCTTTTTTTGTTGTTGTTGTTATAAAAGGAGAGTTTTTGACGAAATTCTAGGAAATTATTACTTATGGGAAGGTTTGTGGTTTGAACTTTGGCTCCTCCAGTCTGCATGTCGATCTATCCTTGGTAAATATACCAATGGAAATGGAATGGAAATGCAGTACATAGGGTTAAAAAGCAGAGTTGGTATTGCATGGTTGGTCAAAATCTGGTGGTACTGCATTCATAATTCCATCAATTTTGACCAAATCCCCAGCACCACCTGCTAAACCATGAAAGAGCCTCTGCTGTGTGTTACAAATGCCTGCAGACACTCACTGTTGTACCTTTCTCTCCTTTTTGAGCCTTTTTTATTAGTGAATGATTTAAAGGTCAGTGTTAAAAGGTTCAGCACACACAAACAACATTCCTCTGAAAATATTCAGGTACACGGACTGGTCTGAAAATGAGTGAAGGAGCAGCCAAAGTCCAAAAAAATAAGAGAAAAAGACAAACTTTGAAAGACCAAGAAAGCCTGGAGAACTATCGCTTAAGACCACTTTAAAAATGACAAATAAGTCTGGCTTCTTGGAAGAAATATATAAAGAAACAAGAGGCGGCTCAAGATTTTTGCACAGTGTATAGCATATATGTGCTGTCTGCCTTAATATCCTGCGCTTAAGTGATTTCAAACATGAATTCACGATGACACTATGTGATATTCTTTGACTATATGCTTCCTAAAACCTTTATCTGAATACACTTACCTTTCTACTTTCCCCTTAAAAGAAACCAGAGGATATCTGGTGCAGGTTTTCATTGTCACCATGACTCCCTAAGGCCTTTGGACTGACAACACTCTTGCACATCTTAATTTATTTCCTGTCTGACTCTGGGTGACGTGCGAGGCCTTTAATTATGTGGATTTCTGGAGGCGAACCAAAAACTTTACGGAGACTCCAGCAGAGTCTGTCTGTGGAAGACACTTTCACTGTACTTTGACCTTCCTGTAACTAAAACACATGATCAAAGGTTTGATCCCTTCATTAATGGTTTCTGCTACAGAGTCAGAGTTATTAAACAGATACTGCCCTTCGAATCCCTTAGAATAACAATGAGCATAGATTGATTTATTTTCATGCTGAGAAATCCTTAAAACCTTTATTTATTGCTTTTTTAAAACAGCCTAATTTTGTGCATCAGATGCTGAATCTGTTACCGTAAAGACTTCACTACTTCACACAGTACATATAAAGCTCCTCCCTTTTCTCTGAGACTATTCTTAACTGATGCCCTTTGTCTGCCCATTGCTATTTTCAGATCGCTGTTGATAGATAGTTCCCCTATTTTAGTCTTACTCTCTCTGACTTTGTTCTCTCTCTCTCTTTTTTAAACTTCAGAGCAGATGTGATGCAGTCTTCCAGTTGAAGTTGAAACTGATCTACAGTAGCTGACATGTTCTCCATGTGTTTGCAAAGGAAACACATGGAATTCTTACCACATCCATGGCCCATAAAAGGAATCCTTACTGATTTTACACATCAAGATTGCCTTAAAGGTCCTCGGGAGCACTTTTGCATTTGTGAAAAAAGATGTTATCACAGGTTATATCTGGCAAGCAATACAGAATTGTCTGTTGATGTACTCTCAGACTTTGGGGGCAGTGGGAATACTGAACCCCTTCATACCTGAGCATGAAAAATAGCCTTCGATTATTTGTTCACTCTTTTTAGTAACACAAGGAGACTATATGTACAGTTTCACTATGCAAACTTGAATTGACAGTATATTATGCTGAATCTTGACTCTTATGTGACTCCAGTAAAGGCTGAGGGGCTTTATTTGTGTGTGTCAGATGATACCACTTACTTACTAGTCCTCAGCAGCTTCAGAAATTATCCCCTGCTCCTAGCATTACACACCCAAATCTCTAACTGAGTTGCATTGTGGGTAATGCGCAACACTTTTGGAGTTTCAGTCCTCACTGGTAAAGTAAAAATCTGGAGATTTCACCCTCTGCAGCTTTATCGGCTGTTCCCTTATTTTCCAAGCAGATGGATCTATGTGTTTGATTTCTTGACACAACCTTTATAACGACTTGGGACGGGCATTAGAAGTACACTTGTTGTGACTTCCTGAGAACCAGGAATTGTTCACATTTCAGGTAAATGTGTTAACCATTAGACCTGCTCCAGGTTTGACCATTCATTAAGTCTGCCTCTTTGTAAATTACACTCAAGTAAAGCATTTGAGTGCATAAAGAAAGAGCTTGAGTACACTGGGCTAAATGCAGCTCGGGCTGGTGGTAAACTTTAAAGATCTGGCTTCAACGTCTTTACTCTTTTGGACAATGAGTAAATTTTCTAAGCAAACCTTCTCCGTGTATCCGGTGGAAACTTTTCTGAACAACTTGTCTTAAGACAGTTTCTTCAAGTGATTAGGGGGAAGCACCATGAACAAGCCACAGCTAGAGGCCCCAGTGGTGTTTGTTCCTCCAGCACCAATACCTGTTTTTTTCTAACTTTACCTTTTCTGGCCCCTGGAAGCAGATCCGGCACTGCGGTGATCGCGTCCCGCTCTCTGAGAGACTCGGGAGTGAAGCAGCATCCATGCTTCCTACTCCTCCTCCCTGAGGTTTGGCACCTTCTTTATCCTCAAACGCCAGGCTTCGTGGCCGGAGGTCAGAGCCATAGTACTCCTCCTCGTCGTCCCGCTGAGAGCAGCTCAGCTGTGGCCAACCACAGCCTCCAATAGCGAGCCCTCTCATCGTGGTCTGTGTGTTCGGGTCAGTGTCCGTCCTCCTGCTTGATCCAGAGCGCATCAGTAGCAACACTCTGAGTTCATTAAAGAACATCCGGATGCGATACTTAAACATTCTTCAGCAGCTTTACTACACAGTCACAAACAGAGCAACCTTCAGCTTCACTGTCACAGTCCCTTCATTATTATTATTATTATTATTATTATTATTATTATTATTGTTGTTGTTGTTGTTGTTGTTGTTGTTGAGGTATTGAATTGATTCAAGTAGACAGTTCAAATTTTACTGAATAAAATTCAGATCTGAATTGAGAAAGCATGCGACTAACATGATAGGCTATTAGATCAGCCCATAGCTCTTTGCATATCCTGTTGTTATAGCATGTGCACCGCAATCCAGCCAATAGGGAAGGATTATTTTTCATGGACAGAGGCGTTTTCTTTCGGGATTCAATGGAGGCTGAGAGCCACGAACTGTGAGGCACAAACATTAAAGTCAGAGTAGTCCAGCAGCATCCTCTTACACGTCTCCATCCCGTTCGCTCGCTGATATCGCAAGGTTCAAACGGGTCATCTCGATGTTGTGAATCACAAGGAGCTGTCCGAGGTTTGCCACAGAATGTTTTCTTCTTCTTCGTGCGGAAGCAGCGAGGGTGTCTGAGGTGTGGGGTTGATGCTGAATCCTATTACCAACTAAGTCCAATCCGATTTATATTTGAGTTTCTCATTTACCCACAGAGCGGGTAGAATTACACGAGGTGACAAGCGTGCATCCTTTGTTGTCTGGCAGTGGCATCCATCACTTCGCCACTCTTTCCTCCTGTTCGCGTTAGCCCTTTCCCCCCCCTCTCTCTCGTTCTCTGCTGTTACATCGGGCGGTGGGGGGGCTTGTCCCGCACTTTCTCCCCTTAAGCAGGTCCGACAGCCAGATTATAAAGTTAGAATCCAGCGGGGTTTAATCGCAGCGGAGAAAGCGAAGAAAATAACATCTCATGAAAAAAAAAATCCTTTCACAGCAACTTGTAATGCCACTTCTTTTCCCGACCATCTCTGCGCCACAAATCAGGGAGAGCGAGAGGATGCCAGATATGGATTCCTGTGAACACAAAAAGAGCAGACCGCAACTGTCCCTTCCAGGTTGCTAAAAAAAAACTGCACCTCCTCACTTATTTAGCAAATCATATAAAGACCCCGGAGAATAGGCGAGACAATGAAGTGCCACTTCACCTGGTAGACTGTAGTATAGTGTCTCCTTCATCATAATCCCCAGGATGCTGAGATTCGATTTTCAGAAGTTTCGCATGCACGTCAGCTCAAACCACCCAAACTTCGTTATCTGTATAGTTTCCTATTTTTTTTTAAAAAAGACCTTTGCTTCTTGCAGCTAAGAAGAAATTATCTCCATCCTTCACTGGTGGTGTAGCTGCTGACTGTGGCTGCTGTCCAAGGTGCTGATATTCATGTGACGTTAAAGCCACGTGCTGTTATTCGTCTGCTGGTTGAGAAAAAAAGCCACTATTGTAATAATCCAGTGAGTGAGTGTATATGTGTGGTTGTAAGCTGTTCTGGTATTACCCATGTTGTGGGGACCTAAATCTATTCAAACAGTCAATTTATAGGGACGTGTCTTTCTTCTGGGGACAAAAAACAAAGTCTCCTCAAGGAAAATCATTGAATTGCATGGAGGTAATGAAATGTCCGCAGAAATCATGGAAGCCCAACAGTTTGCGTGTGTGTCTAACAACCAGAACAAAAGCTCTCCAGGGTTGAAACAGTAGAAAGTGTGCATATACGATGATTTAACAGATCCATCATTCACAGGAACATAACAACACAGCACAGATAATTGTTTCAGAGGAGACAGTGTACGGTTTATTATTAAATAAATAAACATGCTCTCTGTTCTCCCATTACAAGAAGCAACGATTGGGCTGGAGCAAAAAGGCAGATTCAAAAGATGGAATGTTTCACTAGAATGAAAAAGCTTTATTTATTATTTTCTCATGAGACTTGATCACAGGAGCTGGAGGGAAAACTAGAGTCAGTGGTGAGGAATCCACTGCAACAGAGGGAGTTAGTTGTTGCAAAATGTCAGGGGGAGCAATTGTGGATGTGATTCGTTTTTACCTTTGTTCGGCAGATTTACGGGGGTTCGACAGGTGCTTCCAGGAGCAGAGAGGCAGCTTCTGTGTACGTGCAGATGTTGTGGTATTTATTTAGACTGCATGAAACTGTGCGTGCAAATGTGCATTTGTCATTATTTATTTTGGTATTACATAATTTTTTAATTTATGGCTTTATGTGTTTCTTAAAGCAGCCACTGTTTCCCATTTTGACAGCTTTGCATGTTGGTGCAAAGCTGTCAAGAAGGCATGATGTCATTACCTGGTAAGGTAACAGAAGAGCTTCTTCGGAGTTTAATTGGCAGCTTAACCAAACTATCTCATTTACATCAGCTGATTGTGGAGGCCAGGTCGTCTGATGTACCACAACACCTGGAGGCTGTGTAAGGGCCACAGGTTCACCTGGTCTGTGATACATAAAGCCATGGTAGCTGGAAACATAAATCTAATTGAACCAAAGCACATACTTTGGTCTTCCACTAGTTCAGCTTGTGTTTCTTGGCCCAAGCAATTTTCTTATTATTATGAGGCTCCCTGCATAGTGTGTGCTGTTTGAACTGTGGGAAGCATTGGGCTGTACTCTGAGGTGCTAGTAATAGGCAATTTGAGGCTGGTAACCAAACTTTCATCAGCCATTGTGACATGAAATAGTACACAAGCACGGGTGTTGCTAATCACATTAATGAAGGTTCAGTTATTTTTAGGTCCAGAAGTATCTTTAATGTGATTAGTAACATCTGTGCTTACCTACTACTTTAAGTCAAAATGGATTTTGTGAAAGCAGACTGTCATACTGAACAGTTTGACAGTTACTTGGATTTTATAGAACAAAGGATCTTCTTATTGAAAATGACATAAACCTCACTGAGAAGTAAATCAATCATTTAAAGAAGGAATATAGAGAAAAGTGATACTTCTTAAAAACACAACAACTGTAGTCTGAGGTGATGAAACAAAGCAAAAACAAATAAACAAAAATCAACAACTAGACAAATTATTCCAACGAGATAGAGCTTCTTTTTTTTTAACCTTACTTAGATACAGAGAAGACATGAAAGAAACACTGATGAAACTTAAAGAACATCCTGAAGCAGAAGGACTTTTTTTTAAGTCCATAATGACAGTCAAAGTGAATACATTTAAAAATAAGCTCACTGGGTTTGTCAAGCACTGCAGATGTAATTGTCAATTTTATATGATTTAAGAGGATGAAGATCAGTTTACAGGCATTCAGAAAACACCAAGCTTGCTTTTTTCAAGATGCAATTAATACAAATTCAGTTTCGAGTAGATTATGATACCCAAATATTTTTTTTGTCCTTTCAAAGTGTTCCAGCACCATTACTAGTTAAAGCAAAAGATTTTGATTTGAGGTCGAGGTTCTGCCTCTTACTAATGAGCACTCAGTAAGGTTTGTATTTATTAAGCAGTAGTTTCTTTGCTCAAATCTACATTTGTAGAATATTAAAACGGAATTACAGTGCTTCTTGAACTTGTAAAACCTTTTTTAAAATATAATACTGTTATCTGAATAATTTGTTTTTTAGTTAGCAGAAAAATAAAGGTTTACACCATTAATAATATCAGAGAAAAGAAACGGTTTCAAGGTAGAACCATGAAGCACCCCTCACTGCTGTGTAATCAAATCTGATTTGCACTCATGCAAAAGAACAGTGCTTTTGATTATGCTTAAGTGTAGCTGTGAAAGATTAAGTAGCTAAATAAGAAATTAATAATAATATACTTTATTATATGAGACTAATAATATAAACATTAATCCAAATTATGAATATAATTATTAATCTGGAAAGCCCTCTGTTATATCACAAATATCATAGATTAAATGTAGATTAAAGGTTAATGTTAATGTATGAATGTCACAAATTGGCTCTGTGTAGGCAAAAAAGGCCCCAAATGCAAACCCGCGGAGACGGAAAGTAAACTCAAAAAGAACACAGCTTTATTGTCAGCGTGGTGGTTATACAAACAACAACACAAAACTAAACTAGGAAAAACTAATGCAGGAGGAGCCACAGGGAGACTCACACACAGCTATGAGGAAGGACGCAACCCAGAACACAGGAAGACTGAGGACTTAAATACACACATGAGGTGATCAGGAGAAGTGGCAACACATGTGCAAACAGCTGAAACAAATGAACATAACAATGTCACAGGGGAAGTGTAAAACTAAACACTACGAACACAGGAACACAGGACCTCTTCAGAATAAAACAACAAATATGATGAAACGCAGACATGACTACATAAACTTGACGACAAAAGACATGGGAGACTTAACACAGGGGTTGGAAACACAAGGGGAATCTAATAAACAAATGAATTTAGAAAACCCAATGAACTTAAACATGACCCATAAACATCAAAATAAAGGAAAACTCAAAACGCTGGGTCAAAAGACCCAGGATCATGACAATGAGCTGAAGATGGTCTTGTTTTTCCTATTATACAGGTTATTTGTTGTGTACTAAGTACCTCATGGCCCAAAAAAAACAAGAAAGAAGTTTCAATCTGAAACTTCTTTCAGTTTCAATCTGAACAATCTGAACAAGACTTACGTGAAAATCGCACTAAAACATATTTAACTTTGTCTACATTTTTTAGCAACGTAGAATTCAACTTGTGTTACTTTTCATGTATTTTCTTAAGTGCAGAAAGCACAGGTGTAAATCTTGAAATGAATAATTAAGTTATATACGTCAGGTAGAGGTACGGTTTTCAGGGGAATTGTGGGGGAGAAAGCTCATCAGATATTAATAGCGCTTGCATTTTTCAGTGATAATATTAAACTTTAATCATTTAGAATAAGTACTTTTTAAAAAGAGATACAGAATGCATAAGAAACCTAATGCATCATACTGTAGTGGTCTGTGTGTGGAGTCTTTACCTGGTGTCTGAGCTTTGTGTTTTTCAAAATAAAGGGGTGTGGGGGGGGGGCAGATGAAAGCTCCAGAGATGCCTGAAACCCTAAGGAACAACTTTATTACCAGACAAACGTGTTTTGGCTTGTGGCCTTCATCGGGGCTATTACAAAACACCAAACAGCACCAAACAGGTGCACAAAAAATGCAAACAAGATAAAAAAAAATTATACATAACAATCACAGGAACTCTAAGAAATGAATTCGATAAACTAAACAACAACAATTTGCATCACAATTTTTTTAGAGACATTTTTTCAGAGACAAAAATAGATTGAATTACAGAAACTCATTAATAGCTAAATCTTCATTTATACCTTTGGGAAATAAACTCTTTAAATGGAATATCTAGAATGCCTCTCACTTTTCTCTGATGAAATTGATATAACCAGCTCTTTGACTGAGCTTAATGGCTTCAATGCCTATGAAGAATAAAGATGAGCTACAATGTTTTTCATTAAAATGTCTTGCAACGGGTCTGGCTAAATCATTTCTCTTAATAGAACTTCTGCGTTTGTTAATTCATTCTTTCACAGGACAGGATGTTTTGTTGCATGGACACCGTATCATGTAGACCACATTTTTAGTTTTGCTGGTAATAAAGCCTTTTGCATCAATAATCTTGCCACTTGGTTTTACATATTTGAGTATTCTCAATGTATGGAAGACCCACAATTAAATGACCTTGTAGGTTATGAGTTACCAGGTGTTGTTTCTGGGGTTTTAGAATCACAAAAAGCTCGAATAACCCTATCCCTAATGTTTTTATCATTCTTTAAAAATCTCTTGTAAATTTGAAGGATGTGCCAATGTTTTAAAATTATTTCTTTAATGTTCCTGGTTTTTGTTGTAATGGTTGTGCAAAAAACAAGATTTCATTTGGCTTTTGGAGGTTTCTTAGTTACCAGATAAAACCTTCTGTTTTTTGAGTCCACCTTATTTTCTGCAAATCTTAGCCAGTCCTCTTTGTCATTTTTATAACATCTTTTCTTTGCTGTAATTATATTGTTCAGGAATTTCACAAATGCGTTTGAATCTAATGACTTGGCTTACAGGTAAACCTTTTTTGAGGCTGAAAACTTGCAGCGTGAAGTAATGTATTTCAATACGTGGGTTTGGAGTAAAGAGAGGTGGACAGAGATTTGTCTTTTTTGGTTACTATTATGTCAAAAAAGTTCATTTCTTTACTACTATGATCAAAAGTAAAACATCAATCTGCAAAGTGTTCATTTAAAAATTGTACAAACTCCAACACTGTGGAGACTGATCCCTTCCAAAATAAAAATACATCATCTATGTACCGTTTCCAATACATGATGAATGGTAGAAAAGGATTTTTTTGGTGGTCGTATAAAATTCATTCTTCCAGATGGCCAACAAGTAAACAAGCAAAACTAGGTGTCATTTTCGTGCCCATTGAAGTGCCAGAAATTTGAAGCCATAGTGTGTCATTATAAAAGAAATCATTCCTCTTCAGAACAAAAGCAGCCAGCTTAATTAAAAAGGAAGTAGATGGTGATTTTGTAGGCCTGTAGGTGAAAATGTTCGACGGACTCTTTGTCTTTGAGGCTTTGTTGTTTTTTCACAAGGAAGCAGCAAAAGAAGCAGAAAATGAGAGCTGTCTTTTATGTAGGAGTTCAAGGTTGGTACGAAATCCTTACTATGGAAGCCTACAAAAGTTGATATTCACTCGGTTAAACTTCAGGTGGTTGTTCTAGATTTCTGTGGATTTTTGGAAATATATACAAAAAGCTTTTGAAGGATGTTCACTGAGTAAAAATGTTTTTTCCTTCAGAGAAATTTCACCATAGAAGAGGTCAACAAGGAACAGCTGTTTACAGCTTATTTACTTGTGACCATTGTGACAATGGCACCTCCTTTCTTAGAGGCTTTAAATACAATTGATTTATCCTGTCCAAGCTCTATTACTGCTTTCTGTTGATCATTTGTTAAATTATTTAAGGGAAATCAAGTTCTGTGAGTCTACAGTATGTATCTATCATGTGATTTCTGTTCTCAGTGGGACAAAAATTACTTTCAATATTAAAATCACTTCATTTTGACAAGACTCGCTTTTCATTAAAAGTTCTCTGACGTTTTTACAGCTCTTAAAAACAAGTTCAAATGGACTTACAGAAGGAGTTGGCACAAAAGAAAGACGAAGTTCAAGCACTGATAGTGGAGCGGGAGTCAATACAATTCTGCTTAGGTTGGCAACAGCTGACTTCTTCCCCAATATTGAGATCGGGTCCATGGGCGGTCGAATGGATCTTTTCCTTTTCCCCCATCATCCAGGAGATGGGGGTTCCAGGGGACGAAACATTTTGCCCAAAAAAGGATGTCCAAGGTGGCTGGAGAATTTACATTGTGTCTTTTTCTTGTTTGGAGTGGTTGAAGGGAATCTTTGCTTGGGTGTGTGTGTCATTAAACCAAACTTTCTGTTCTGTTGGGCGTGGTTCAGTGATGGTGGAAGTATTGGTGGTTAAATTGTGAGCATCTTTAGACCAGGGATATATAAATCCCTCCTTATAGTCGTTCGTTTTAGGTCTTTTATTTCTTTTTCACATTCTGTTAGTCTTATATCAGGTTCCTCCATTTGTTTTAGTGCATCATTATTATCTCTTGTCAACACTTCCAGGTACTGTTCATTCTTTAATATTTCATTTTGTATCTTACTCTCTTTCTCATTCAAGTACTTTATAGTAATAGCCACCAGCCAAATGGCTTTCACATATAGTCGAAACGCGTAATAAAGTTGTTCCCTAGTGTTACAAGTGTTGCTGTAATTTTTATCTCACCAGTTCTTTATTTTTCTCCAAGCACCTTGGAAAATGTGAAGTTGAGGCAGAAACTTTTAGATAACTGATTTTCAAAATAAAGAAATTTTCATAATTTATGCAGAAAGGAGACAATTTGGTCCATAATATGTTCAATCATAAGCTACAGTCATGATATTATACACAGTATCAGGGCTTACTGGGTCACTTTCATACAACTGAGCCATCACTGATGTTATTATAAGTAAAATGTCTGCAAGGGAAGAGTCTATCGAAGGTTCTTAAAATAGTTCGAGATCACTTCCTTATAAATCTCTGCAACTGACTCTGTTTTCCCAGCAGTTCTCCTGGTAGGCAAAAAGCCCTTGAGCAGCTTAACAGTTTTAGAGAAGCAATGCCTTGTTTTAGAGTTTGTCCCAGCTACTGGGACAGCCTGCACGTCACTGTCACTGTACTATATTCCCATTTCTGGTCACAAGTAGATAATGTCTACTTTTTTCCCCTCTAGCAGGCAGCAGGCACATAAATGCATGAGTGATGGCTGGAGAGAAATCTGTAAAAGCAGGGAAAGACTGAGCGCCAAATGGATATGTTGTGCAGGATATCAGAGCACAGAAATTTTAACTGACCAAATGGGATTTTATTTATAAAATACTACGTCCACCATTCGTGTTTTTGTTTTTTGACCCCATGCATCAGTGCAGACTGATTGTGGAGTTTGTTCATAACCAGTAAGCATCCATTAAGTAAATATAATGAATGTGTCTGGGATTGAATTCACCCCATTAAAGCCCCTTTATTTCCAGTACTAAACACTTGTATGTTGTTTTGGGTGCCTGATGCAGAATTCCCTCAAGGCACGGAGACAGACAGGATGTCCATTAGTGTGTACAGACGATAAGATCAGATTATTGTTAACAAGAGATTCACAGCCAAAAGTATTCAACCTAATAGCCACGTGTAATTCATTATTATCTAATAATGCAACACTGAATTGTTCAGTCTGATAATCTGTCCAGGATACTCCACTTCTTACGCTACATCAGTATGACAGACTTGATATCCACCATCTGCTACTCTATATTGGATAAGCATTCAAAATAACAGTATGGACAGACTATTAGCTGTCAGAGATGAATGAAGCCTGATGTTATTCCATTTGCATCTTTTAAATAAATACACAATTAGCCATTTTGCTAATCTAATTGCACTGTTTAGTTTACATGGTGTAGTCTTTTTCTCCTTTTTAGAGGACACCTGTTTCTCTTTTGAATTGTTTTTTAGACTAACTGTTGAAAAAAAAACTGTTTTGAAATTGAAATTAGGTGATGTTTTAAATACTGAACATATGGAGAGATTAAAGAAAAACTGTTATATTAATTTGCAGGTCCATATGTCTCTAGATAAAGTTTGCAAACAAATGCATATTTTAACTGTTACATTACTCATATACTGTGCACCTCAGCACTTGGTATTTATGTAAAGGCTGATTTTAGGGTATGAAATAATACATATATGCATATTTCAAAGACGTTGTACAACTTTTAATAGACTGGCTAGTCCTCTAGCCTCCATAGAGGAGGTGGGTGAGAGGAGGATGTTAGCCAAGCTAATGCCCATTATGGACAACAGCTCTCACTCCCTGCACGAGACTGTGGAGACTCGGAGCAGCTCTTTCAGCAGTTAACAATTACAGCCACTGTGTAGGACGGAGCATCATAGCAGGCCCTACATCCCAACAGAAGTCAGACTGTACGATAGGCACATAGGATAAATACTTGCTGAGGAAAATATGCGTGTATATATTATCATTCCTGCTTGATTTATCTTTTAGAGTATTTTGCTGTGTATAGTATTGTACAAACCAGCCTTGTGTAGCGTTTATTTGTAAATCATTTTTCTTATTTATTCATGTCTTTTCATTGTTTTCTGAAGTATCTCTAATTCACTTTTTCTTTCTGCCCCTCGTGCTACTGTAACAAGTGGATTTCCCCAGTGTGGGTCTATATCTAGACCATATCTATATCTGCATCAGTCTGTCTGTATCTGTCCAGCTGTAGGAAATGCAGAAAAAGAAGAGTAATTTCAATCTTAGAGTTAAAACTCATTTGAAGAACCACACTGCTTCAGTTTTGTACAACTTGACTGGATGGACGGATTTTTAACATATTTTTGGGGGGGATCTAAAAATCTATCAGGTACTTGATATACATTTTGATGATGTGTTAATTAACTCATAATTAGCATAAGTATTTTTTGATCAATTTAAGTTATTTATTTGTCTGTTTATTTATTTTTCAATGCCACCAGCACAGTTTTTTTCATCTTTGAACGTTAACAAAAAATAAGCCAGTTCAAACTAAGAAATGATTTGTTTTATATGCTGAAATTTCAAGAAACTATTTGTTTGCTTGTTATCAGTAGTTAAATATTTCTAAGCGACGTAAGCAGGCGATGTAATAATGTTTTTGCTAACAGTTATTCTCCTGCACGACGCACAAACTCAGACACGGTAATATGTAAATATATATTCTAAATAATAGTTTTGATGGGACAAATTAGATTTGCCTACTACATATCAATTATCCTTAACTACCTCCCGACTGATTGTCATTTATTGCTAATAACTGCAGATTCTGGACACTTTCTAGAAGTTTAAGACGCACAGCTGAGCTCGGGAGTTTTTCATTCATTTGCTGGTGAATTATTTTGGCTCCGCCTCCGAGGTTTGCTAGAAGCAACAGGAAGACAACCCAAAAGGGGTGCAGGCTTGAAGAAAAAAAACACAGTGGAGGCCGAAATCATCTCGGTGTATTGGCTTCTCCACAGCAGATCCACTGCTGGGCTATAAACCTTACCGACCTGCCACTTGTGACCCGTTTGTATGCGAGTTATACGTGGCAGATTAGTGAGCATGTCTTCCTCATAGAGCTAAAGTGAGCTTACCTGGCACAGAAGAGAGAGAGAGACACAGACGGGCGAGGTGAGTACAGTATCTGGGCTGACGATTACTCGAAGCCGCTTGCGATCAGAGTGTGTGACACTGATATTTATGTAATGTGGCACAGATGTGGAAATGGAAGTTGCAGGCGGCGATTTGCCTCATCCGCTGCTTGCTGTAGTTTGCTGTTTTCCCTGCCACGTCAGTGAACAAGTAGGTGAGGAGGAAAAAGTCCATGTGGCCTGTTGTTGCTGCACTTTGTTGCCAGTGTAATTAACAAAGGAGCGCTATGGAGGAGCACCACGTGTCGGGACAGAGCAGGCTTTCTGTGTGCCCTGGCCTGCTTTCTCTCTACCTCCGCCCACTGGCCTTCAGTGTCACTGGTTTGCATTTTGCTTAGAAGAATCAGTAAATGAATGAAATGTGTGGAGGTAACTGTGAGCTTCACGACCAGTTCTGGCAGCGATCAGCGACCCCAGTGTTGTCAGACGCTGAAACTTCCAGATGTGCAGCTGTAGTGTGTCCCCTGGTTGTGCAAGCTGTTCTGTGCTGGAAAAGGAAACCGGGAGATGTTTTTAGGGTGACAAGTCATGGGTTGTTCACTTCCTGAACGACTCACAGCTCAGACAGTGAGACCACAGAAAGGCTGATCATTCATTATGAGAGTCATTGCTCTACAGGCAGGCTGTGGTAGTTTCACTGAAAATCACAGGGCTGTTCTGTTGTGTCCTGCTGTGAAGACATGGGGAAAACACTGCTGGCTCTAGAGCCCGACGGATTATTTATTCTGACCACTGTCAACCAAAAATGGGGCAAAATACACATGCAGTAATCCTCTCTACTGGTTCCTCCTGCCAGATATTATCAGTACATGTTTGACAGGGTTTCGCACATTTGATTCATTTGATGTCCGTCATAAAATTGTGCTTCCCACAGTTTGTTTGGGTCAATAAATGTAGACATTTGATCTGCCTGCTGCAAAACTTACATTTGAAACCAGTTCTGGGGAGCGGGGATAAATATTTAAGCCCACACAACCAAGTGCAGCCTAGCCCAGACCAGTTAAACTGGTGTTAGACTTGTGAGGGGAAGGTTTCCTCCCTGACTCCCAAACCTCCGAGAACCCACAGAACCAACATGAATGACAGAGTGCCGATCACTGCTTTGTGACTGTTCGTGGTCATTCATTATAAAGTGAAGGCGTAACCAGGTTGCATGCAGTCGAAGAGGCAAGTGCAGTACATATCATTTATTATCTCGACACATGTTGAGTACCGCTGTATCATGACGCCTTTGTTATCACGGGCAATGTTTTGGCCTATCATATCAAGCGTTAGTAATTTCCTGCCCTGATATTAATTTGAAGCAAATACAAAGGAACTGACTGCTGCCTGATAAGTGAGAGCGCTAACAACTTGATTTTTTTGTTGTTGTTGTTGTTGCTCTTTTAACCTCTGAAATGTGAGGTTTAATTTAAGTGTTGTATGCAAAGTAACTGACAAAGGTGTCGACTTAAATGAGATGTTAAAGGTGAATATAAACTTGGAGTCAAGTTATGTTGCTAGCTAGTTTACTGCTTTTCCCCTTTCCAGGCACATGAAACATGCTCATATGTTCATATTTATATATTAAACCAAATCACAACACCAGTCACCTCCAGGCGCTTTATACTGTAAGGTCAATACCCCAACAATCAGATGATCCCCTATTATCAAACACTTGGCGAGAGTGGGAAGGAATAACTCCCGTTTAACAGGAAGGAGCCTCCAGGCTCAGGGAGGGGCGACCATCTGCTTTAACTGGGGTGAAGCAAGGAAGACCGGACAAAAAGCACATGATGGAAGAGAGCCAGAGTTTAATAATAACGAATTATATAAACACAAAGTGAGTGAAAAACTGTCAGTGAAGAAGAAACACTCGGTGCATCATGGGATTTTATTTTATTTTATATTGCATTATAACTTAGGGTCACCTGATCCTGCCCTAACTATAAGCTTTGTCAAAAAGGAAAGTTTTAAGCCTCATCTGTATGTATGTAAATATATCTTGATGGCAAAATTGATCTCAGTGTTATTTAGAGAAGTGAGTTCTGTTTTGTCCTGTTTTGTTTTTTGCAGAAGAGAAAGTTTTATTTGCATCCTGTATGTCGGTTCGTTTCTTAATAATTTCGAGAGAAATTTTGGTGGATTCATGTCAGCAGACAAGTCTGACTCAGTTTTCTTTGCACAAGAGGAAGAAATGCGGTAAATTAAAGCAATACCTCTTCCTCTTAGTAACAACAGTTTATATTGACTACATGTGGTTTATAATTGCCGTTTGTGGTTTGGGAGCACGTCTGGATATACAAAAACAACTGTAGGCAATATTAGTCATTTTTTAATCTTATTTGATACAGTATTTTAGCCGATGCAGTGATCCAGTGGATTATTCATTCATTAAACACTTTGAGATATTAATAACAAATCTGAACTTGGCAGGTTTTTTTCGTTCCATATGGGCATTTTCTACTCGTGGAAGATGAGGATTGTAAGATTTTTCCTGAATTATCACTATGCTGACAATAAGCCCATAAGTGCACTCTCTATTTATTTGTTTTCCATCTCTGGGCTCATATAAAACACACAGAGATGCTTTCACACTGTGTAAGCCAAATATCTAACAGCCGTTTACAGTGTTGGACTTTGGATTACCTGTGTTGAAAAATGATGTTAGCAGCCAAATCCAGAAGAGAATGAATTCCTTGTTGAAGTGTTGGACTTTGAGTGGATTGTGTTTCTACTCCTTTGTCGCTGTGCCTTTCTTCAGAAAAATGTAAGTTCTGGACCTACGTCATCTCTCTTTTCTCTGATCATCGTTAATGCATAGAGTCAGGTGATGTTTCTGCTCTACTTTTATTAACAGTTTGAGTCACATGAAAATAGGGAAAATAGATTTTGTTGGTGGCAGTACATCAGCCTGGGGATGTCAGGTTACAATCAGCTTTGTCCTCTACTCCTTTTACTCAGAAGGCATGAACCAAACGGACGGTTTTGCTGTGCTGTGGTGGGTAATAAATACTGTTAAACGAAAGTGGTGCCAAATCCAAAACACTGGAGTCTAGTTTGGTTTGAGGTCTTTCTTTATTTCTTCGACAGCAACACATCGCTCGCTCTGTGACTTTACATAATGGCAGACAAGTCTTGGTCTAAACAAGATCAACAGGTTCTTAAGAGACCCTGAATGGGACATTGTTTTGTTTTCACACTTTAAAGAGAAGAGAACTTCTACCAATGAGTAAGCGAGCTCAGAATGCAAAAGCAGGGCTTGCAGAGAAATCCGTATCAGGCATTAGAGGTGTAGTAGGTCAAAGGGGTGTGGATGGATGGAAATCAGTTAGGGGATGGGCTGAGCGGAGGAAGTGCACCAAGCTGCCTTGACAGATTAAAGGCCGAGGCTTTAACAAAGAGAAGGAAGCAGAGGGATGATGTTGTCTCTGGCCGTGTACCTGCTTCCTGTCGGGAGACTGAGGGCTGGAGCAACGGCACAGAAAGAGTTTTTTGCTCGAGTGATTGAAGGTGCTTCCTGTGCTGCAGAGTGGTGGGCAGAAGTCCCTCGTCAAAGGACCTCGCCTTTAAAGTGGAGCCGCATTTGTTGAGTCACATTACTTTTTTCCCCTGCCGTTTGTGGATTAAAAACCTAAAATTAATAGTATTTCCCTTTTTTGATGGGTGGGGGTTAAAGGGTGGGGTGGGGGTAGCAGTTGTCTTTATGTGGCAGTTGACAGTTGGGGGCAGGCAGGAAATGGGAGGTGGAGAAGTCAGGTGGGGCCGGAGGGAGGATGATACGCAACACGTATTCCTGGCTGGAATCAAGCTTAAGGTGTTTTTTGTGTCGTGCGTTTCACCCATTTCACAAATAAGACACTTCACATTTGATAAGTATATAAAGGAGCACTGATGAATATATCTCCACTCTAACTGATGTTGGCTTAACTGGCCTTCAAATGTTTTGCAGCTCCAAGCATAGTTTTGTATTACAAACACACAGTGAGAAAAAAAGTTAATTCTGTTATGTGCACAAGTCAATTTTAATAATGTTGCTGGGTAAAATATAAAATAACACTAAAATAACATCAAAGTAACTTTTTGTTTGAAAAATCTTAACCCTCTCAAGGCAGGCGTTCAGATTTGCAACAAGTAAAAGCTAACAACCTGATTACCCCACATACATATTTTATGAGTTTTTTTTACTCAGAAGTACCACTGCAGGTATTCTTTTGTGCATTTGCAACAAAAACTTAATTTGAGCCAGAGAGGGTTAAAAAACAAATGTGTAAATTGTAAAGTATTTACAGCATATGTACATTTTAAGGAGCTACATTAAACGAGCTGAGTGACATTTTTACCATAAGTTTGTCAAGATGTGGGACATTTCTCTACTCCTAAAGCATTTTAGTAGAACTTTCTCAGCCTTTCTATGTGTATATATCTGTATGGACCTTATCACCTCTTCAACAGGGAGACCAGTCTGTGGCAGAATTTTGTTTGTCTCACCACTAAATATAATTTGAAGAATTTTAAAAAGCATCCCAGGTCTACCTGTTATAAACATTCAAGTGAAGTACAATTTATTGTTTTTGATAACTTTTTATTCTTTAAGGTTATTAAATGGTAGGAGTGGGAGCATCGTAGAGATAATGGTACAAACTGGCTTTGAAAAAAAAAAAAAACGCCTTCACTGACAAGGAATAAAAAGACAGACCACATCATACCTTACCATAAAGACCTCATAGTACCACATCACCCCAGTAGAGCATTCTGCTCTCAGACTGCTGGTTTGTGGTTCCCAGGATATTTAAAAGTAGAATGGGATACAGAAGCTTCAGCTTTCAGGCCGCTCTCCTGTGAAACCAGCTCCCAGTTTGGATCCAGGAAGCAGACACCTTTTCTACTTTCAGGATCAGGCTTAAAACTTCCCTTTTTGACAAAGTTTGTAGTTAAGGCTGGATCAGGTGACCCTGAATCCTCCCTTAGTTACACTGCAATAGGCCTAGTGTGCTGGGGGCTTCCCACTGAGTGGTCTTCACTCACCGTGTGTTTATACACTGCTCTGCATTAATTATTACTTATTATTAATCTCTAGCTCTCTCCCACAGTGTGTTTTTTGCCTTTCTTCCTCTCGTCACCCTCAGACAGTTGGGGCAGATGGCTGCCTCCCTCCCTAAGCCTGGTTCTGCTGAAGGTTTCTTCCTGTTAAAAGGGAGTTTTTCCTTCCCACTGTCGCCAAAGTGCTTGCTTGGGGTTTTCTCTTTATTTTTGTAGAATCTTTACCTTACAATATAAACTGCCTCGAGTTGACTGTTTGTGTGATTTGGTGCTATATTAATAAAATTTAATTGAATCAAAATGAAAGGGGTACTACATCATTGAAAACTACAGCTGAGACAGTCAAATGTATTTGCACAGCAACACTGACAGCAGTAGTGAGTGGGCTAATTATCTCAAGAAGTCAAAAGGACTAGTGATGCTAAAGACTTGCACTATAACCTATAACAACACGAGTCTTTGGAGCAATTCATTCACAAACAGACACTAAACTGAAAGCAAAATGAACAGACAAGGACATTTTTACAGAGGTTTGGTTGGGAAAAGCCAACAGCTGCTGATAGAAGTGGATCCCTGTAGTGGGGGGGGTCTTTGGAGTATTAGGGAAAAGGTTTAAAAATGTAATGTAGTGGAAGAAGTTCAACTGAATAATTTTAGCAAGCTAGAACCTTTTTCACATCAAAAACAGGCTAAAGCTCAAAGAATAAAAGAGAAACTGGTAGCTACCAAAAGCATTTGCTATAAAAGCCCCCGCTGTAGTTAAACAGATAAAAGTAAGCATACTGTTGCTATAGAAGGTCATTTGCAAAGTAAAAAAAAAAACACGAACAGGAAGACTTTCATTGAGAGCGCATGAAGTTCTAACACAAAAGTGCTTTTTTATCGCCAATTCGAAGTTATTTCTAAGATGGACTGCTGGCAGTGTGACAGGAAATAGACTTTGTACTCGTTTAGAAATGGATCCTCAAGCACAAGAGCTGTTGAGGAGCATCAATTCATTTTGGATGTGGCAGGTTTGCAGAGATGTGGTAATGAATTTCAGCCTCTGCCCGGTGTTAGCCCGAGGACTTTTCTCTCTTTATTACTGAACAGTCACCAGCTTCTCCCACACAGAATATGTCTTTGGGAAGATGATGTTCCTTGTTCAGTATAGAGAGTTCATAAAAAGTTCATTATGCTGGTTGACTGTTGTTAGATCGGTTTTTATAAGTTTTTTTTTTCTTTTTGCATTTTTAATCAATGCCAGTGTTGTTGTTCTCTGAAGTGGATGGTCAGATAACCACTTGGGTCCAGGCAGTCTTCATACCCAGAGGGTGAATCCAGCTGACTTTAACGATTTCATGACTTTTTTTCTAGCCTCATCATGTATTTGCATCTTCAACCACTGTGATCGGTCACTTGAAGCAGTGCACTTTCCACGGAAATTAACCGATTGCCAGTAATATCATTATTGCTTTATGTGTCAGGCTCTTTCAACTTGGCCATGGCCCACGGCACCAGCATCCAGTATGACCCGGTGGCAGAAATCGGTGGAGGTGCTTATGGGACTGTTTATAAAGCCCGGGACATTGAGAGCGGGCAGTTTGTGGCTCTGAAGAGCGTGCGTGTGAGGACAGACCAAAACGGCCTCCCGGTCTCCACAGTCAGAGAAGTGGCTTTGTTAAAACGGCTCGAGCAGTTCGACCACCCCAACGTGGTCAGGTGGGTGTCGTCTTTTCATCTTGTGATTAAAATGAATGCTTCACACAGGAGTCATGAATTTTCTTACTTGTGCAGGCTTATGGATGTCTGTGCCACCAAGGGGGCAAACCAGGAGACCAAAGTCACTCTAGTGTTTGAGCACGTGGACCAAGACCTTAAGACATACCTAGAGAAAGCGCCAGCACCGGGATTATCTCCAGACTGCATTAAAGTGAGAACTGGCTCCAGCTATATCTAGACTAAAACTTAGCTAAAGTAAAATAACATTGCTGATACCACATTCCAAGCATGGACTGTTCTGCTTATTACTCATTTAAATCCCTGTTCCCAAGCTGAAAGCTGTAAAATATGTAGTTCCAGTGAAGCTCTGCTTGTGTTTTTGCAGGATTTGATGAAGCAGTTGCTGTGTGGTCTTGCATTCCTTCACTCTAACCGCGTGATGCACAGAGACCTGAAACCAGAGAATATTCTGGTAACCAGCCAGGGCCAGGTGAAGCTGGCTGACTTTGGTCTTGCCAGGATCTACAGCTGCCACATGGCCCTCACTCCTGTGGTAAGACGTGTATAGAGGATATTGTAATTTTTTTTTCTAACTTTGATTAATTCTTATTGTCGATTTTCTACCATTTCATTGTAGTCAGCACTTCAAAGTGTTTTAGGCAGCTAGACAGTGAAAATAACATACAGTTTCCAATCTTCAGCATTCTGGTGCCAGGCATAAACATTTTGGAAAATATGCTTATTTCCCTTCTTGCTTAGCGTTAGATAAGAACACTACAACCAGCAGATGGTTAGCTTAGCGTAAGGCAGGACTGGAAATGGTGGGTAAACAATCCAAAAGTAACAAAAGCTGCCAAGTAGTAACCCCAAGCCTCGGTAATTAATACATTATATCACATTTTTGTGTAAAGATGTTGTGTAAAATCGCACGCCATGACTTGGATGGGAGCAGTAACTTCCTGGAGTGTTAGCAGATTGCCAGGAAATACTCCAGGACAAACCATGATGCCTCAAAACTGCATTTTTATAAAGAAAATAAAACGTAATATTCAGATTTACTGCACTGGCTAGCATTTTATTACTCATGTTTAAACTGCTATGCCTTGTTTTGGCGTTTTGCTTTTATTGTCACGCACATTTGCCCCATAATTAAAGATGCTGTAATTGTGGCCGTGTCAGCTTATTATTTGTTTTATTTGAATTCTGAAAAATAGTTTTAGTGGTTTAAAAAATGAACAGTAAAGTAACAGTAAAAGGCCAGAGCCATGCTGGTATGTCTGTAACTTTAGTTAAATGCTAGCTTCTGCATTAGCATGAGTACAATGAAAGAAAATTACCCGCTGAAGATGCAGATCTTTGCCAGGCAGGGGCATTTTTCCAGGACTTTTTAAAAAGGGAGGCCCAACAATTAGTCAACTGAGTCAGGGAGGGAGGCTCATAGAGTTATTTTTGGTTGCTATCTTAATTACAAGGACAGGAAGTAGCTCCACATGCTTATTTTGGTAGATTTTTTATACCAGATAACCTTCCTGGCACGAGGACTTTATGCTCCCTCCTGGGATTAAACCACAGACCTTTTACTGATATAGTGTGGAAGTACTGGAGGAGGATAAAAAATATTCAATTAAATACGTAGGAAAACAAAAGCACTTTAAAAGTGTTTTTAAATTTAGTAGTTGT